TGTCACTATTTAATTTAGATTTTTGTGGCAAAATTATATTGTGCTAATCAAATTAATCCCAATGCGAATTTCTCTCTAAATTGACTTAGTTTATGGAAGTTAATTGGTTGACCTAGACTTAATAAAGATGTTCAAATGTGAACAATGTAATCCCATTCTTTAGATGAACAAAAGTCTTGGAGAATTTAGGTCAAGTCTTAATTGAGCCAAAGTAAGGAAACATGACTCAAAGTCGCCGTGGTTTTGTTGCCTTGTTTGGCATAATAAAAACTAATGTGTGCGCTATGGTTAGCAGCACACTACGTAGTTTTGGTTGGCAAGTTTTGGAGTTATGAAATTATTAAGCCCTCAATAGATCTGTATATGATCTTGACTATTGAACTGCGCGGATTGACTTTGTAATTTGACTTGTAAATAATGTTACATCATTGGATGAAGTAACATTCAAGAGTCACGTCATCCAAGAAATGCGAGCTTAAATAAATTAGTCATTAAGTGTAAGACGAGTAGCCAGTATGAGCAGTGTTTTGCTCTCTACCCAATTATTGGGAGTGGATGGAGCAAAATTTCATGCACTATAATAGTGTGCGTTGAAGTATCACTTGAAGATTAAAAGATTAGCAAAATCTATTAACATTAAGTGAAAAGATTAGTGCCAAGTGGCTGCAAAATCTATTAGCATTGCTAACTTGTCTAAGTCTGGACATTCTGTTTCCACACATGAGTGTGAGACATGTTGAGGTGCTTCTTTGTGTGATTCATTTACTAGGCTAACGTTTTGAATAACATTTACCACTAAGCGCAAACGTTGCAGCATAGTAATGAAAAGGTTAAGGCTGACAAGGTTGTTATGACTCTAAGAATTTGACGCATGGCTCGTGAGAGCATTGTGTTGAATTAGACTCTTTAGCCTAATTCGCGCTTAAGTTACTTCAGGAGCTGTTATAGTTAATAGCTTATTCTTCTTCTTGTGGATAGTAGAATTAATTGCAAGTAACTATGAAGCGAGAAATAGAAATGGCAAAAGGAGTATCGTCATCTTTTAGTGGAAGGTCATTTGTATTGGTGCATTTAGTCCACTATGATATTTGTGACTAGATATGTGTGAGGGTATGATAGCTAAGCCTCAATCTCGACACATTTATAGATTACGATACGCATCTGAGTCAAGACTATTTGATCTCTCATAAGTCAAAAGTTTTGAGATGATTTTTGACATTGCACATATGAGGTCGAGATCAATTAGATAAGAGCTTTCGTGCTTTTAGTTTTTGACCAAGGTGGCGAGTATCTATTTGAGTTTTTTTGAGAAAACTCTGTGAAGTGAGATGGATGCTTAGAAAATTGATTATTCCTACTACTCAACAACACAATGGTGTAGTAGAGATAATGAATTAAATATTGTTAACGTTAGGTGGATAATGGCGCAAAATGTTTCCCAATTGAAAATTGCACTAGTTTGTTGCCTATATCCCTAACTAAGTGCCCTCCATATCAGATTTTACACTTCATTTTGAGTAATAGGTTAGCGGAGAGCCATCTATGGGCGATTTGTAACCGTTAAGTAGCTTTCTTTATTTTACTTCTCATAAGATTGCGAAGTTAAGACCTAGGGTTCTATAGCGCATTATTGTATGCTGTCTCGTAAACACAAAGGGTCGTGTGGCGCATTATTGTATGCGGTCATGCAAACCCTCCGGGTTATGTGCATAAAGGTAAGCAGCTTTGTGGTAGTGTAACTAAGTCACATAAAGTTTTATTAGTAAAAGTGACGTGAATAGAGTTTGGAACTCTATAAGATAGAGAATTCTAAGCATAGCGCTTTATGTAGCCTAGTTGAGAATGGAAAGAAATTTCCAATATCCTAGGGACAGTGGGAACAATGTGCCTACTAATGGATTACTCCATTAGAGAAGAATGCTCTACATTTTTAGTTGCGTGGTAGCGAATGTGAAAATTTTCCATGTCATCACTGGGTAATGAGAGGGAAACATTTATGATTGCTCCGCAAGATGATAAAGAGCCTAGGATAATGCCTAAGGCTCTAGTCCCTTTTTTTAGAAAGTGGATCAATGCTGCGTAATTTAAGACAAAGTCTTTAAGGATTAACCATTTTTATAATTTGGTTGACTTTCCATTATGACACAAAACTGTTATAAAGTTATGCGTAATTTGGATAGTCATTGTTGAGGCATAAGGCTCGCTAGATACCGAAAAGTCGCACCATTGAGGAAAGTGCAGACTATGAGAAGACTTCCTCTTGGGAAGTAAGGTTATTTCGACTTAGGCTATGATTGACATAAGTTCGGAACATTGATTTGTGGACATTGTGACCCAACTTCTCGTTGGAGAATTGGATAAGTAGATCCGTAGGGATTTACCTTCTGCTTTTATGGTGAAAAGTTAGGAGTGCAGAAAGGTTGCTAGTTCTAATAAATCTTTTACAGCCTAAAACAGTTATCCAAATAGTGGTTCTTAGATTTCGTCAAGCCATGATAGGCCAACGATGATCGATGAAGACCACTGAGGCATGATCAATGGTCCAAAAGAAGTTTTTCCTTACTTAGTCATTATGAGCCAGGAATTTATAAGGTTGTCGCTACTTAGGGTGGGCAGTCCTCTATTTTAAATATGATAGACGTGGGTGATGTAATTTATATGCTCGGATATACGATCCTTAGGGATTGCTTTGGGAGAATTCATGTTTTGTCTTCGATGACTTACATAAGGAATATCCTAGAACGATTCTAGATGCAAAATTGCAAACCCATTGACTTACCTATCGGTAAAAGCCAGAGCCTTAGCTATTGAGTGAATCCTCGGATTGTCTTTGGGAGAAACAGATGACCTATATTCCTTGATTTATTTTTCTTTGTTGTGGGAGCCTAAAGTACACTATATGGGCTTATTCGGCATGATAAGTGTTATTTTTGGTAAATGGTCAACTAAGTTGTTTAGACATTAACCTTGCTCATTAGACTGTGGATAAAGTGCTTTACTAGTAGCATATTAATTTGCTCCTTGTAAGATTCAATGTGCAAATTAGGCGCATTTGTGCTAGTTGGGCGCATTAAGAATGAACGCAAATTGGTCAGCAAAAAAAAATATCTTTAGAGAGGTTACTGCGCAAGTGGTAGTGATCTTGAATCACTTCATGAGAGGTGTACATGGTGGATTCCGTTGTATATACTTATCGCAAGAGGTGATGATAAGGCTTATGTTTGGAATTTATAATTGCGTAAGCTGTGGTCAATTTTTTTTTAAATCGATCACTTATTTTGAGATGATGGGATGTTGACACTATTATGGTTTGTGTCATAATGATTAGCAGATGATGATGTCAGCAGGCAAGATTGGCTCACTCACACGGGGCAATCGCCCTTGGCTCTTGGGAGCGAGCAAGGATGAGACTAGTGGTTTATTTTTATTTGGAGCCAAGAGAGGCTTAAATAATCCACTATATATGTCGCCTTGGTTACAACCAAGATGAGGTCGTGTTAAAGATCAAACATGGATATTAGTACCCACTTTCCATATTGTGTCTGTTATGATTAGCCAGATACGAGATCTCATTTGGCGCCTAGAAGGTGAGCAAATAGAGAATTTGGGTTAGGCGCTAGAAAGCGACTCTGTACGGTGTATCGAGTATGACGTCACTCTTTTGGAGGAGCTACTCCACCGTAGCATGTATTCATACTATATGTGCTTGGCGACCGAGTAATGAGGTAAGAGAATGGATACCTGTTCCCTCACCGTGTGAGTCTTACGTGTCATTATTGGTATGACTTTCATTTATGTACCCTTTGGTGACTTTTGACTATGTTATACGGTAAGGGGTTGATGTTCTGCTACTTTAGTATGTTGCCTGCGGTCATGTATGATTCGGCCTTATGGGATATCACTGGGAAAGCGGTCAATCCTAAACTAAATGGCATGAGGGCAAAGGGAAGATCATCTAGTATTACACCATTGTTGTATATTCACTGCCGGCAACTCACATCGCTCTGTATAAGAGGCGAATTGAGTGTGAATATATTGCAAGAATTGAGAGGGTCAAACATGCTCTTTTTGAGGGATTAGAGATGTTTTTTTTTTTGGAACGGTGTAATTAGATGGGTCTGGGGTATATGAGATACTATTTCTGTTCTTTTTGGGTTGATGTCTCTATACTAGCTCATTTTGAGTTTCTAGTATAGAGCTCCTACATGCAGGTGTTCTCAGCAGTCGCACGGTGCAGTGGCTAGTATGAGATTGTTTATTTTTTGGAGAGATTGAGATAGAGATGTGGCAGTATCATGCCAACTCATGTCCGAGTGGGAGATGTTAGAAATTGGGCGCCCATGTGGCATGACCCTTTGAACCTTTTGAACCTGAACCTTTTGAACCTTATCCATGTAAGTTTGAATTTGAATTCAAAACTTGTTTGGTTAACCATTTAGGATATCTATATCTATCATATCAATAGATATGGATATATGGATAGATAGATATTGGTTATATATCAGATTATATGATTAATCTAATATATTAAAATCAGATACGTATATCAGATATACGATATATGGGTTTTTACCCATAACCTTTTTTCTAGACTCTGTTTGACTCTCTCCCATTAAACAACGATCAAGCCATTTTGCACTGTGACTTGTGTGTGTGATACTCATTTTGTAGTATCACTCCACTGCTGAGTTCGTTGTTCAGATTTTAGAAGCACGTGATTTACCCACAAGGTTCTTCGCTACAAGGTATGATTCCGAATTATTTTTTATCCGCTGCGTTAATTTATAATGCTTTATGATTTACACTGATTTTACCATATTGCCTAGTCAAATTTCGTGTTCTTTGAAAACTAGCCCTAGTTCTGTTAGCCAATTTGGACAGGAGCGGACACAGGGGCTACATTGTTGCACTAATTAACTTGAGGGACTAAAATTGTTCAATTGAAACTTGAGAGACACAAAATGATACAAAGGACAAATTTGAGGGACCAACAAAATAACTAATAAAAAAAACTTATTTAACACGGGCTAATCACACACTAATAATTTATTGAAGTGCAACGGGCGAATCACACACTGGAAATTTAACAACAATGTAGCCCATCTGTGAAATGACTAATTAAAAAAGAAAAAACCTTTTGAACAACGGGTAAATCACACACGAAATTTATTGAAGTGCAAAGGCAAAACCCAATGCAATGGTCTGCCTCGTAAATTAAAGATGGATGGCGAAGGAATTAAAGCACGCATGCAAGGGGATCGGCAGCGAGGTCTTGCTTCTCATCGTCATCCACAGAGGGCAGTGGCTTGCTGGGATCTTCAAATGACTTGGCTTGCTCAAGGTATGCATCCATACGCGGAGTGGTAAACATGCGCACCTTTTCCACATCATCACCTCTTGCAGCGAAACGCTGGCGATCATGGGAAGTCTCAGAAGAGAGTGCAAAAGGACGCCCTTGCTTTTCGTAGATTTCATGTGTTTTCGTCAACCTCGACATCTGTTGCTGCTCAGATTTCAGCATCTTAATCAACGGGTTAGACTCATCATTAACCACGTTCTCCAGCAAGCTTTGGGCTTCCGCGAGCTTCTCAAGAGCACCATCCAGCTTCTTGTCGTCAGCCATGACTCTTGATTCTTTTTTCATCTGTGCTGTCCGGAGACGGTTCTCCTCAATCATCACCTCCGCCCTCTCCGGCTCCACGGATGTCCTGCTGGTGCGGCTTACGGTAACAATTATCGGATTGGCATCAAACAATTTCCCACCAGAGCTGCACGCGCGTTATATTCATACACATATCCATTACTTTTGTCAGATCGATCATCGAGTCAAATTAAATAGCCGATCAAACACATGAAACATAATTTATTCTACTAGCTAGTAAATGCAGGGATTTGATAATATTGGTACCACCTGACCTGTATGTGTAAGTGATGTCGAGGACATCCGAGGGGGCCGGACTACTAGCAGCAGGGAGAAGAAGATCCACTATGACCTTATGTACCTCTTTGCTGTAAAGATCGCCAAATGAAACAGTCACAGGGCCGGCAGCATCTTCCTTGGATTGTGGATAGTTTCCGGCAGACACCTTAACGATTGTGGATTCGACTTGTGTGACAGTCAGCTTCAGATCCTGAACAACTACGGTGAGAAGCCCAGCCAAACACTGGGAAAATGCAATACTCAAGTTGTCCTGGTTTCGAACATCTGTGAACGTGCCTAGTCAAATTTCGTGTTCTTTGAAAACTAGCCCAAGTTCTGTCAGCCAATTTGGACAGGGGCGGACACAGGGGCTACATTGTTGCACTAATTAACTTGAGGGACTAAAATTGTGCAACTGTAACTTGAGAGACACAAAATGATGCATAGGCCAAATTTGAGGGACCAACAAAATAACTAATAAAAAAAACTTATTTAATACGGGCTAATCACACATTAATAATTTATTGAAGTGCAACGGGCGAATCACACACTGGAAATTTAACAACAATGTAGCCCATCTGTGAAATGACTAATTAAAAAAGAAAAAACCTTTTGAACAACGGGTAAATCACACACGAAATTTATTGAAGTGCAAAGGCAAAACCCAATGCAATGGTCTGCCTTGTAAATTAAAGATGGATGGCGAAGGAATTAAAGCACGCGTGCAAGGGGATCGGCAGCGCGGTCTTGCTTCTCATCCTCATCCACAGAGGGCAGCGGCTTGCTGGGATCTTCAAATGACTTGGCTTGCTCAAGGTATGCATCCATACGCGGAGTGGCAAACATGCGCACCGTTTCCACATCATCACCTCTTGCAGCGAAACGCTGGCGATCATGGGAAGTCTCAGAAGAGAGTGCAAAAGGACGCCCTTGCTTTTCGTAGATTTCATGTGTTTTCGTCAACCTCGACATCTGTTGCTGCTCAGATTTCAGCATCTTAATCAACGGGTTAGACTCATCATTAACCACGTTCTCCAGCAAGCTTTGGGCTTCCGCGAGCTTCTCAAGAGCACCATCCAGCTTCTTGTCGTCAGCCATGACTCTTGATTCTTTTATCATCTGTGCTGTCCGGAGACGGTTCTCCTCAATCATCACCTCCTCCCTCTCCGGCTCCACGGATGTCCTGCCGGTGCGGCTTACGGTAACAATTATCGGATTGGCATCAAACAATTTCCCACCAGAGCTGCACGCGCGTTATATGCATACACATATCCATTATTTTTGTCAGATCGATCATCGAGTCAAATTAAATAGCCGATCAAACACACGAAACATAATTTATTCTACTAGCTAGTAAATGCAGGGATTTGATAATATTGGTACCACCTGACCTGTATGTATAAGTGATGTTGAGGACATCGGAGAGGGCCGGACTACTAGCAGCAGGGAGAAGAAGGTCCACTATGACCTTGCGTACCTCTTTGTTGTAAAGATCGCCAAATGAAACAGTCACAGAGCCAGCAGCATCTTCCTTGGATTGTGGATAGTTTCCGGCAGACACCTTAACGATTGTGGATTCGACTTGTGTGACGGTCAGCTTCAGATCCTGAACAACTACGGGGAGAAGCCCAGCCAAACATTGGCAAAATGCAATACTCAAGTTGTCCTGGTTTCGAACATCTGAGAACGTTCCTCCCATGCTGTTGTTTGCGATGGCATTGAGCACCTACATCGAACGGGAATTACTAAAGTTATACTACCACAACTTTTGCAATTTTTTTTTAGATACTGGTTTTCCACATCACGGTGTAATAAGGAAAGAAAAAAATAAAATAAAAAAAAAAAATAAAATTATTTATAAGTGTTTGCCATTAAACCATTACTTGTCAAATCTGTCAGTACACACAACCCGAATATAGCAGATTCTGTGAAATGAATGTGTAGGGATCACCTAATTTACCAAAGAAAATTCCAATATATAACCAAATTTACTCCCTTGTTTCTGCCCAGTATGCATCACCCAAGACTCTAGCTAGCCTAGATTAGTGTACAGCTAGCTGTTAATTCCTCCATAAAATAGATTCCTATACAGATAATGATTTTTTTTTTTTTTGTTTCTTTTTTTTTCAATACAACGTACCATCGGATCGTGGTCTGCGCCAAAACCGAATGTGTATACGGGCACGTTGCCGACTGGAACTTGGGCAGCATCACCACCTTCATTTTGCTGACCGTTGGACATAAGCATAATGCCAACTGCACGACCGCTAGTAAGTCTGCGGTCATTGAGCACTTTTAAACCTGTTTGAAGACCAGCAGAGATGTTCGTGCCGCCGTTAGCAACTAAAGAATTGACCAGATTTTCAATCTCCCCTTGAGAATTTTCAGTTATCTGCCGCAATGGACACAACCTCTGGGAGCCCTCGTTGAATGTGACAATCGACAAACGATCAATCGGGCTAAGTTTCTTGATCATGAATAGCATGGCAATTTTCATTTTTTCTAACTTCTCTCCCCCCATGCTACCGCTGACATCTAAGACCATCACAAGATCCACTCCGAATCTGTCGTTGCCGGATTCTGCCCCCGTGAGCTCCAGCATCACCTTGAATTTGCTTTCTTCCAGTGGTGCCGTCGTCTTGCTGATGATTGTCGCCTTTGTTTTTCCTGCTAGGAATGCTGCAAGTTTTCCCCCTGAAATATGCCATCATCCCAAAAAAACACTCCAGCATGATTTACATGGTGCAGAAGAAAAAAAAAGACTCCAGCCATGATTTACAGTCAAAGGTTCAAAGACTTAGACATGAAGAAAAAGACTCCAGCCATGATTTACAGATAGCTCCAACCATGCTTCTATATATAGTTGAATTACTTGCTTAGATTTATAAAACCTGATAGAGGGAAAATCTACCTCTCAGACATTGAGAGATTTGAGAGAGATTTGACAGAGGATGAATAGTTTGTTTCTTGTAAGCTTTGAGTGAGATATATCAATACAATTGTGTGGCTTTTCTTTGTAAATTCATAGAGTGTAAATGGAGAAATGAAGAAAACATAAACCTGAGACATCTTGGCTTGCAACAATCGGCTCATCATCGTTGAAGCTCATTTTGCCAAGAAAACTGATACACCAATTGAATTTGTTAAACTTTCCTTACTCCCATCTCACCACTTTCAACCTCAAATAAATAGAGAGAGGAAACCATTGTCAAAAAAGACTTTCTTGTAGTCTTTTTATATAGGCCTGGATATGAAAGCTCAATTTATTATTATTATTATTATTATTATTATTGCATAGGGAAGAAGGGAATCTCCGTTGAATTGAAGGGAGTTAAGGGTGTAAATCTGGCACTGTCGGCCCATGTCGAGTCTCGCGGGCTTCTACCAAAATTCGGGCCGGACCGAGTCGGGCCACGGACCAAAAAATTAGGCCCAGGCCCAACAGTATTCAGGCTTTGGATGGGCCGGTGAGCTTGGACCTGGCCTTGGGCTTGGGCCGGCCTAATAATCTTTTTTTTATTTTTTAAAAATTTTTTCTACTAAAATTTTATTATCTTTTGCATGGGGAAGGTTGAATTGAAGGGAGCAATACTACAATCGGGTATACACCAATTAATGCACAATTTTTTTTTTTTTTTAATGGATTCTGATTATTAGTATTATTATTATTATTATTATTATTTTGCATTTTATATTTTTTATATCATTCCGCACTCTATTCACTACAAACTATTATTTATTTTTTGCTTATAATCATTTTTTGTTTATGTAAAATTTTACCTTAAAATGACGTGATAGTGCCATTTGTAATAAAAAGATGTCAATAGACTCTTTATTATAACTTGATAGATCAAAATCCATCCAAATCATTTTTAATTATTTTATTGTATTGAGTGTTACATTGGATTGTTATATTTGGGATACACTAGGGAGTTTTTTTTACAGTGTTACGTTTAATAATTTGAACATTATGAAAAAATTCACATTTTTGCCATTTATGTAATTCATACTACAATGAGATCTTTGGGTCTATAAGAAAAAAAAAAGAGAACGAAACAGTTCATAAGATAACTATTTGAGATTTATTGGTGCTTCACCCTTAATCTTATCTATATTTTGTTTTTTTAAAAAACTAAATTGATGAATTATTATTTAACTTAGTGCATAGCACAGGTTATAAGTTACTCTATCTATATATATATTAAGGACAAGGAATATTTTAATTAAAAGCCTTCTAAGACTTTCAAAGTTTCATTCTAAATTCTAATTTTTTTGATTTTAAATAACTAAAAAAATCTTTTATCGGCTAGCCTTATTGAAGCAAAAATAAATAAATTAATAAGGGTCTATTTGGTAACGTTTACGTTTTAAGTTTATATTTACAAAAATTTTATAAACTGGTTTTTGTGTATTTTTTGTTTATTTTTAAAAAAACATAAATTACAAACGCGTTTGGTAATTGACAAAATGTTTAAAAAAATTTAAAAATATAAAAAAGAGTGAGAAATGGCAAGTGGTGGCAAGTGGCGGCGGAAGACAGTGGTGTGGTGGTGGGTGGGTGGGTGACGGTGGCGGGTGGTAGCGAGTGGGTGGTGGTAGTGGTGGTGGTGACACGATCCGAATCAATTTTTAATTAAATTTCACCATAGCCTCTAAAAATTAGGCTAATCGCAATAACACGGTCAATTTCTGTTTCTGAAGCCTATACGGCCTTCAATTTAAATTTTATAACAAAGAATCAAATAGATTTTCTTACGGTGAACGGATAGGAATTGAAAAACACATACACTCATATAACAAGCATTCAAAATCATATTGTAGAGGGTTAGAAATTAAACCCCAAACTAAGTATGAGCCTAAGCACTGAGGTCGCCCTAAAGAGGCGACTGGAAATAAAAAAGAAGCATGGGCCAAAGCCCAAGGAAAGTGGACCAACAATGGGCCATAGCAAATCCGACCCATCAGGGCTCCAAATGGACTCTACAAAGAAAAATGTCCAAGTCAAGTTGCAGAGGCAACACCTGCGGCGGTGAAGGAGGGAACATGTGCAGCGAGAGAGTTACTGATGTACTTTGCCTCAGCGCCGCCATTCCTAATATCTTCAATTTCGCCACCATCTGAAGTTACTGAGGAAAAGAGAAAGCAAACACAACTAAGTTGCAGAGGCAACACTTGCGACGGCCAAGTTGCAGAGGTGAAGTTGCGGAGGCACTTTGTCTTAGCGCCACCATTCCAAGTATCTTAGGTTCCGCCGCCATTCCAAGTAATGTAGGTATCATAACCATCTGGAGTTGTTGAGAAAAGGAGAAAAAACAAAAGCAACTAAGTTCCAGAGCCAATACTTGCAGTGCCCAAGTTGCGGACGCATTTTGTCGGTGCCGCCATCTCTAATATCTTGAGTCCTGCTACCTAAACTTGCTGTGAGAAATGAGTACCAAAGCAACTACTACCGCAGCAACTAAGTTGCAGAGGGGATACCCTGGCAAGGTGGTAGCAGCCTTTGAGAGAGGTTTGCCTCTGCAACTAGAGGCTAATGCTTGGCGCTGATAGCAGGCCCCCCTCTCCCTTAGTTCATTTA